CCTTGTGTACTTCAGAATAATTTTTAGCATCAAAAACTCCTTCAACAATTCTTAAGTCTACATTCCATCTTTTCACTTGTGTACCAGGATACACAACCATCCATACATAGCTGTTATTTTTGGAAAAATCTTTGTTTTGATAATCAGATTCAAATGTTTTATTTGTTTCTAAATAGGTAACAATTTTATTTGAAAAACCTGAAAGGTTTTTCCCTTGAGCCGATAAAGTCTCTATTTTTTTGTATGAAGGAAGTGAACTTGCTCTCAGTATTGAAATACACCCTTTTTCTTGGCCGCACCATAACTCATATTTTTCAGTATTCATATTTGTATCAGAATTGTAAAAGTCATTAGGTAACATTTTTTTTATGGAAGCATTAGATTCAACAGCACATATACAATGTATGCGATTACCTAATGAAAAGGAATTTAAAGGCTTCAACAAAACTATATTTGTTATTGGGTGCAGACAATCAATTGGTTCCGAAGAACTAATTCTACTTGGTGAACAAACATCATCACTATATATAAGAACATTTCCATCCGATTGTGCACAAACAACAAACTTTTTTAAAGCAAAGTAATACATGCAAACTATAAAAGCATGATTTATACATGTGCCATATGCAATCAAACGGTATTTTGAAGTGCAGTAGACTTTAAAAGTACTTTTATCTGTTCCTAACCACATCGTATTTCCAACTAAGCATGCTGTGATAATTTTTTCTTTAAGTTGAATATTCTAAAAATAAAGTTATGAAATATGAAGTCACAAAAACACACCATTAGAAGCCATTATTAGTGTATTGTATTATTATAAAAACAAACTGTTAGAAGACATCATCATTATAAAATACACCATTAACAAAATGCGCTAGTATTTTGTTAAAAGTGAACTTGTTAAAGTTTTTTAAAATTTGTTAAAAATATCAAGCAATTTTTTGAAAAATAAAATAAAAGAACAATAAAAACAAAAAAAGTGAAAAAAGCATCATACAAGTTCATGTACATATTTAAAATCTTCATATGAAAATATTGTCACAACTGTATTCTCTGCAGACTGATTCTTTGAAGTGCTGATTAACCAAACATGTGAACCAATTGAATCATTAGTGGACACAGCACTTTGTTTAAAAAAATTTGATGAACAAGTTTTTATACACTGTAAGTAAAAGTTTTTATCCAGTTCTGTTAAATAAAAAAATGATTTTACATTAATATAATTATGCATAGACACACATGAGCTATATATCACAGTTATTCTCAAGGTCACTTAAGACTTTATATCTTATCGCACAAAATTTTTTATTTATTCTGAAAGCAATCCATTTGCACATTCCATAAACATCAAATCTTAAACAATATATAACTATATATATATATATATATATATATATATATATATATATATATATATATATATATATATATATATATATATATATATATATATATATATATATATATATATATATATATATATATATATATATATATATATAACTATATATATATATATATAACTATATATATATATATATATATATATATATATATATATATATATATATATATATATATATATATATATATATATATATATATATATATATATATATATATATATATATATATATATAACAATGGCTTGATTATGCTATTTCATCGCAATAAAAAGCAGAAGAAAATCGTAATTTCATTACCAACTTGATAATGAGCAATGAAGCCCATTTTGAAATTGACATATCCTTAATATATATATATATATATATATATATATATATATATATATATATATATATATATATATATATATATATATATATATATATATATATATATATATATATTAAGGATATGTCAATTTCATAACCCTGTATGATTTTATTAATTAGAACAATTCTATTTATTTACTTCATTTTATTTTAAGTGTTTTATGTTATTAATATTACAAACTGTTCATCAGCAGCAACAACACCCATATATATATATATATATATATATATATATATATATATATATATATATATATATATATATATATATATATATATATATATATATATATATATATATATATATATATATATATATATATATATATATATATATAAATGTGTGTGGACATATATATATTAAATATACTATGTGAAAGTGTAGTAGCAGAGCGCTCGCTTCATTAACAAGAAGCTCTGAGTTCAATCCCCACCATGTTCCTAGTAGTACCTTCTTGAATGCAGTGGCCTTCATGGCCTTGGGAGGTGAGTTAACATAAAAAATATATATATATTCATCATCATTATCATCATCATCATCATCATCATTATCATCATCATCATCATCATCATCATCATCATCATCATCATCATCATCATCATCATCATCATCGCTTTATCCACAAAATTTAATCTTACCTAAAACATCTAACAGCGATGTTAGTTCATCCAAATTTGCAAGATCTTTAATTTCTAAAGTAGTTGGTCTATCATTATAACTCCAACATCGATGTAGCAATGATAATATAGGAATAGGATATTGTCTAGCCTGAATTACAATAAATTGTTGTAAAATATTGTTGTACAATAAATTGTACAATAAAAGTTTATTTTAAGTATTGAAAATATATTATTTTAAATCTGAATTGCTATTATTATTATATACTATTTTAATATATAATTATTGCTATTATTATTATATTAAAATTATTACTTTTATAGAACTTATTAAAAAGATTAAGTTAAAAATATCCATAAAAGTTTTTGATTATTTTATTCAAAATTTGAATAAAATAAATTGGTCTACTTAAATCTAAAGTTGTTTATGCCTAAATTATATCAGTATAATGTTCAAAGCATAAAAGTTTAAATTATAAAAAAAATACAGTTATAACCAACAAGCAATACTAATGACATTAAGTTTTCTTAAATAATAACACAAGAACAATAACAATAATGAATAAAGAATAATAACACAAAGAACACCTAATCAAAGGTATCACACCTGCTGACAAAATACAAGAACTGACATCAAAAAAAAGAAAAAGAAACCCTTACCACCAGTGATATTTTTGGACGCTTGCCCTCTAATATGAACTTATTTACAAGGTTTCTATTGTCACAGTTACCAAATGGTTTTCTAAGATTTATTAACTCATAGACAAAGGAACCAAACAAGAAACTCAAAACCTATAATATATCATTTTGTGTTTATATTTTTTATAACCAAAAGTAAACTTAATAATACTTTTTATTAATTTGAAAATTGTTTCGATAATTTTTGAAAACTAAAATTATATAAAAAATATAATTGATAATTTTTCTTTCACTACACTACTAAATTTTTTCTTTACAAATTGACAAATATTTTCCAGAACAAAAATATTTTTAGTGATATCTTAAAATTGTGTGAAAATTACCACAAATTTTTAAAATAAAATAGAACAAATAAAAGTGATTTTAACAAAAAATATTAATATGTATATTGATAATTTAACATATAAACATATAAATATGCAAAACTTTGATTATAATGCTTCAAGATCTAAATTTGACAATTTTATTTAGATGTGGCAAAATTTTTAAATAAACTAAAATTTGTTCATTGATTTAATAGTCATTTTTATTTGATTTTTTAATTTGTTATGGAATTAGCATACCAACTACTCTTGTGAACTTCAGATTATACTGAAAACCATTAATTCTCAATAAAATGCCATCGAGGCAAATTTGGTGTATTATCAATTTTTTTTTTTATGAGCTTGAGTGTATAATGGAGCTTTATTGCATTTCTAACAAACAGCTTTGTATTTGTGAAAAATACTTGAAATTGTTGTTGGAACAATATATTTCTTTTCAAGTTCATGAAAAGATACTCCATTTTTTATAAATGTTGTTTTTTACAATCGCCGCCACTTTAGCAACTGATATTTTATGAGTTTTACAACCTGACTTGCTAATTGCTGAACCACATTTTTTGTATCTTAGTTAATATATAGTTCTTCGTGGGACTCTTTAATTAGTCTCTAATGGTAAACATCTTTCCATATTCGATATGTTTTTCATAAAATGTTTTGCTGGGTTTTCTCATTAAAAATTGACTGAATGAATAAACAAACACTAATTACTATTTTTATTGATGTTTTCTTGATCATTGATCTATTAGCTAAAATAACCATAACATACATATATATATATATATATATATATATATATATATATATATATATATATATATATATATATATATATATATATATATATATATATATATATATATATATATATATATATGTATATATATATATATATATATATATATATATATATATATATATATATATATATATATATATATATATATTATATTTATTATCAATGTCAAAAAATGATCTTTTTAACGTATTTAATTTTCCTTACAACAAGGAACATTTCCTAACCAATTAAAAATAGCTTAATTTTCACTAATATTTAAAGGAAGTGAATCGCTTAATGTTACTGATTTCTATCTAATATTAATTCTCTCTGTGTAATCTTTGTGTAATTCCTTATGACAGCTATTTCTTGCTTAGCTAAAGGCACAAAACTATTTGTATATGTATATATGCATACAGTTAATTCCTGATAACTCGATCCTCCAAGAGACCAAAAATAATGGTTTGACTGAACAAACAATTAACTAAAATAAATTCTTGTTAAGTTGAATTTGGCTAATAAAAGATATTAGTTTGAGTTTTACATTCTTGTTATTTACATTAGTTTGATTTTTCCTTTTTAATGCTAAAGAATAAACATTAAATATACACGATTATACTAATAAAAGCGTAAAAAATAATTTAGTGAAAGAAGTTAGATATTGTATTAATGCTATCTTTTATTAAGAAAATTATCAAAATCAATAGATAGTTGGTTTTTTCAACAGTACTTAATTACATTTATTTTGTAACAGTTAGTCTTATTTTACACCTGATAACAATCTATTCTATTCAGATCTAAATACAAAAAAAAAAAATATAGAAAATAAACTACTACTACTGTTATTTATGTTTTATATAGAATAACTTCTAAAAAAAACTTAATCAAGTTTCATTTTGATTTCTTTCTTACAAAAAGTTTGACTTAATAGGGTATGAAAAGGGTATGAAAAAATGATTCAGCTTATTTAGAGAATTTTAATTGTAATTAATTAGACGATTTCAAAGGACTAAATGAATCTGTTAGAGATAACAAAAGTTCAAAATAACAAGTTTTTAATTTACCCGGAATATATATATATATATATATATATATATATATATATATATATATATATATATATATATATGTATATATATGTATATGTATGTATATATATATATGTCTATACACAATTTTAAATGTATTCTACAAAATCGAGTGCTCAATATGCTTAAAAGAATAGAACAGTAATAAATTAGGCTTTTAAATTAATGAAATTTCCAAATCATAAGGGGCTTTCTTTTCAGAATTAGTATTATTATCGTGTAAGGTTTTTTTAAACTGTAATCATTACAACAAAATTTGCATACAAAAAAACAAATGCCCAAGAAAATGTTTATAAAAAAATGTGGTACACAAATATGTTGTTTCTTCTAATAAAGTACACAATAAACAATATATTGGCTTAACAGAGGGTGGATGGAAAAAATGTTTGGTTAATTATGAGCAAATTTTTGAAAACAAAAAGTATTTAAAAGACACCATGCTATCAAAGTACATGAAAATTGAAAGATAAAAAAACTGATAAATTTATTTTGAAATGATCCTAAAAACTACGTAAAATAATACTTTAAAAAATATATATACTATGCTTACAAGAAAAATTGAAATAATCACATATGCAAAACAAGAATGTTTATCAAATACTATCAAAAGCGGTAGTGTTATTAAATAGGTATTGTAAAAATCGGTAGGTATTATTAAAATTTATCAAACTGGTGTAGTGGTACAGCACTCGCTTTGTAAGTGAGAGGTTCAGAGTTCAATCCACACCAGGCTCAGTTAATTTCTCTGCGCAGTGGCCTTGTTCGGTTTGTGTTTCAGAGTTAAAGTGATTTTTTTTATTGTGGTTGTAACCACAATAAAAAAAATAAAAAAAATTGAAACAAAAAAAGTAGGCCTCAAGGAAAAAAGCAACATTAAAAAAATGTAAAACAAAAAATCAGAACTGATTTCTAAATTCAGAAAATTTTATTTCAGAAAAAGAAAAAAAAAAAAAAGGATTAATGAAAAAATGATAACTACTGCAACCCGAATCCTTAGTCAATGTAGCAGCACTCCTTGCATGTTCTACCTAGATATTTAGTGGATATGTACTGAAGCCCCTGCAGCTCCTGATTTTAGTATGATGTCATCAGTGTGCATCTAATGCTGCATTCAAATATGTGTGTATAACAGAGATCATCTAGATCATATTTAAAAAATCTGGAAAACAATTTGCAAAAAAAAATCGGGAATTTGCTTTACTTTACTTGTCTTAATTTAACTTTAAGGTAATGGCTTTCTCAATTTTTTTAAAACTTATTTAATTTTGTGTAGGTAATAACTTATATATAATTATCATTTTTGAAATTTTCATATGATTTTGCTTCATTTAAGACCCAACACGATACACTTTTAAATCTCGTTATATGTTTTTCTATCATATAGAACATATTAAAGGGGTGGCAGTATACATTTTTCAAAAATGTTGTTTTTTGGAACACGCTTATATATATATATATATATATATATATATATATATATATATATATATATATATATATATATATATATATATATAGTATTGCATACTAAGGTAAGCATTCTGACGTCATACTGAAATAGCCTGCTGCTGGGGGCTTTAGTACATACATCGACTGACAAATAGCCTGACTCGCAGTGGAGTGCTGCAACATCGACTGAGAGTTTGGGATGAAGAAGCAATCGTTTCATTCATCATTCTTCGTTTTTTCTTCTTTTTTCGAAAAAAACAGTATAGCTTAAGGTAAGCAGAAAAAGTGAGCAAATGCTTATCAAAACACACTTTGGTAGTAGCTCTTGCAAAAACCCTTGCCAAAAAAATACAAATGGTTTTTTAAATTGCAAATGTTTTACAATAAATTCACAACAAATAATGAATTTTAAAGTATAAAATTTTACTTTTTCATTTTCAATTTCATCTTGTACCCTGAAAAGTGAAACTCTGCAAAATTCCATATTTTTGTTTAACAATTTTTTACTATTTCCATAACCTGCTAATAGTAGTCGAACTTCTACATAGAGACTGCAATCTGGTTCAGGAAATTCATGAACTAATATGTTATCACTTTTTAAATCATAGCATATGATACTTTGAGAGTGAAGATAGTTCAGAGCATCACTGACCTAAAGCATAATCATTACAAAACCTAGTTTAATTAAAAAACGCACCTAAAATTTGCTCAACATAATAATTAAAAAAGCAGGATTAGAAAAAATAAAATTATTGTTATATAAAAACCTGTTGAATTGTTTTCTGAACTGCATAAACCGGTAAATCAGTTTTCCATTCTCTAAATTTATCTAGATAACTATTTAGTGAACCTCTTGGAACTAGTTCAAAAAACATAGCCAGTGGTTTTAAAGATAACCCTTTGAACTTAACTATATGTTGATGCTCTAATGATAAGATAACAGCAAGTTCCTCACGAAAATTTCTATAAAAAAGTCTTTTTATATAAAAGTCTATGTGTGTATATATATATATATATATAATATATATATATATATATATATATATATATATATATATATATATATACATACATACATACATATAAATACAATTTTATTTGAATTTCTCAATCAATCTCATGTCCAAAACACAAACCTTGTTAAGCGAGGATAATCTTGTTAATCTATGCAGAGAAACAAGTTTTTGGTTGTGAATGTGAGAATTCTACTACTGGTTTACAACCATATATATATATACATATATATATATATATATATATATATATATATATATATATATATATATATATATATATATATATATATATATATATATATATATATATATATATATATATATATATATATATATATATATATATATTAGGGTGTTTAAAAAAAAAGAGGCCTTATTTATCATCTGCCCAAACCATGATTTAGTACTAAAATATTTTTTTTTAATTTTGGAAAATCCTAAGGGTACCTTCAGGGGGTAAAAGGGGCAATTTTTAGGGTGTTTTGCACCATTTTTAAAAATGTTTTTAGGAAGTCTTGACATTAATATTTTTGATTTTTTTTAATATTTATGTTTGTTAAGATTTATTTAATCTAAATACTATTGGGCTCTACTTTCAAAAAAAAAAAAAAAAAAACTGTTTCAAAAAAAAAATTGTTTCAAAAAACCCTAAAATCCATAAATTTTTAGGAAAGCTCATAAAAATATAAAATATTCTTAAAATTTTCTTTAAACTCATTAAAGTACATTATTTATTTATTTATTTTTGATACAGTACAATATTGATTTCTCACTTATAATCAGCTTCAGGAACTATTCTGGGAAATATATAAGAGAGAGGGCCTGGACAGAGAAAGAAGATACTAAAAAAAAAAAAAAAAAAAAAAAATTAATTAAATTATAAAATTTTTTAACTCAATTGTAAAGTTTCATTTAAATTAAAATACAGCAACCCCAGTAAATTTATGATTTTTTTTATTCTTTCTTAAAGAATGATAAAAAGTGACAAAAAAATGTGCATAAGAAACTTGACTTTATTTGTGTTTGTATTAGCGGTTTTTTTGTAATCCATTTTATTCTTCCCGTTTCTGTTTTTCTTGTAACTATTTGCAAAGAGAAAGGTATCCTGCCTTTTCCCCTCAGAATATGCAATATTTATTAGGTCTTGAACTAACTTAACTGCCCTCTAGTAACAGTCATTAACAACATCAAGTCCCTTATCTGTTGCTCTAAATTCTAGATAAAAATTGTTGAATTTCCAAAATTCTGGTAGAGTCTTCATCCATTGAGTTTCTGTCTTTCCATGCCTGAGCATGTCAAAATCTAGCCACGACTTTTCTGTTATAATGTAGTCAAACTAGGAGGCTCGCCTTTACTAAAATTGAGGCTATTCAGTATAGCTTGATCCATTACCTGGCGCTCCAAAGGAAAACTATCACTTGGACATCTTTGTAAACTATGCAGTTTTTTGGCCATATCACCACATTTCCTACATTCTTTATCTGCTAGGGCAAAAACTACTAAAGTGGGATCTAGATACCAAGTATGTCTAATAATAGAGCTTGCAACAACTTGAAAGCCAAGTAGGTTCCCTTCCTCAAACCTTTTCATTTGCCAGTAAGCTTTCATATCCTAATAAATAATATCCATTAACATTTTTAACAGCTTTAATCAATAATGAGCTTTCTAACTTATTGAAAAAATACTAAAAGACTGATACCTGTGTTGGTGCCAAAGAACTTAACTCTGCTTTTAGAAACCACTCTGTATAGAAAAGACAAATGGATAAAGCCATACCAGTTATTTCTTCTTTATGTTTGTCAGTCAGGTTTTGGATTTCATTCATCAAAGGATACAATTTTAAGTAGTATAAAACCTTTTCCCATAAATCTTGAATGGAGAACTGGTCCTGGTAATTGAAATTTAAACCTATTTGATGATAGAACCATTAAAATAAGTTCAGCTAGCTTATGGTATTCTTTTCTTACATTTCTGTCCTAAAAGGTTTTTGATATATTATAAATTTGTAAATATTGCTTTTTAAAAGAAAGATTTAATAGAAAATGAATAAAAATAAAAGTATTACCTTTTTGAAGATCTTTAAACAAATCACATTATGGCAAAACTGAACAGCAGCTATTTTTTATCCATTATATATCCATGTTCCAGGTAGTATTATTATTCTTTTCAGCTCCTTAGTTTCAGCATCTATACTATTCCAGTTTTGTTTTAGAATTTTAAATAGTTTGTTTTCTGGACCAGGAGTTTTGCTGCTTGAGTAAATCTTCCAGAAATGGGCTATGTGTTGCTCAATTACATGATGTCTACATGCCATCAACAACAAGGGACATTGAATTTGCTGAAATATTCTCATGCAAGTACCGTGCGATTTTCCTGTATTTGCCAAAGTTGTGTCAAAACAGAGACATTTAACCTTATCTTTTAATCCAAAAAATTCCATCAATTCTAAAGTAGCTTGCTTTCGATTAACCCCTGAACTAGAATCTATTGAAGGAATGCCAAGTAGTTCTGTTTGCGCATCAATTCTTACAAAAACTGCAATTCTATCTTTTTTAAATTGCTTTCTTTTCGTTAATTCATTAACATTTTTTCCATTAAAGTGTATATTCATTAGTGAAGCTGATGATGTTAAAGTATTTTTTATGGATTCTTTTATTTCACTTTTCTCATTTTATCTTTTAATATTTCTTCAAATATAGTATTTGTTCTCCAATCCAAAATACCTAATTCATTTTCTCTTCAAACAAATGCCTTTTTTTTTATTTCAGTAGGATTTGCTATGTGTCTTTGATCTTTTAATTTTATCCACTCCTTCAAACAGTTTCGTAATTTTATTCCTGTAAAAATATTATTCAAGAGCATGTTTATGTAATAAACATGGATTAAAATAATATAGAACTTATATTGAAAATATTACTTTTGTATTGTAAGCACTTTAAATCCACCAAGTATCTAAGGTACCATTAGTTTGGACAGTATACAGCAGTCGGACTGATCAACTGGACCATTAGGTATAAAAAAAGAATTTTTGTTATGACTAAGAACTTCACTTTTTCTTTACACTTTGATTTTCGTAGAAAGAGATAAAACTGAATAATTTCTTTAGCAATTGCAAATTTTTTTGCTGGAAGTTTTTCGATTAACTTTTAAACTAAAAATACTTTATCCAATCTAATACTTCAAACTTTTTTTTTCAGTGGCATTATAATAATTATTTAAGTATATAACCTAAAAAAAAATAATATAAAATATATTTCAAAAAAACATATTAATTACTAAAAAATTTAAAACTTTATTTATAAAAATATTAAAAAAATATACAGTGTAAAAATACTTTTATTTGTAAAATATTTATGGATTTTAGGGTTTTTAAAACAATTTTTTTGAGTTTTTATTTTATTTTTTTTGAGCGTAGAGCCCATTTTATTATATATATATATATATATATATATATATATATATATATATATATATATATATATATATATATATATATATATATATATATATATATATATATATATATATATATATATATATATATATATATATATATAATATATATACAATGGATAACTTAAATCTAAAGACATTATATATCCCTATTTAGTTAGTTAATGTATGTAGATCAATTAGGTCCATAGCTTTTGTTATTTTTAGGAGTATTGATAAGATTGAGTGAAGATAAAATACCTTACCTTCACTCATAGGTTCAATAAAGAACAAAGTAATTTTAGGCAAGTTAAGAAATTCACTCCAGGAAATTTTATTATATTCAAAACCATATAGTAAAACATATTTGTAATATTCTATTGTATTAATATTTTATTTTAAGTGTAGTATTATCTTTTAAAACTACGAAAACCAGTTGCAATTCTATGCAAATAAAAAGACTTTCTAAATAAAAAAAGTTTTTACAATTTTTTGCGTAGCTATAGTAAACAGTATATTGTAAAATACTATTTGTATTAAGGTGTTGACTTTTAAAACTTTTTTTGAAATTTTTGAAACACTATAGCATTAGTGGATGATTATTTAGGTACATTATTTAAATATATCTATTATTTGATTTGATTTAAAAAAAAAGTCACCCACTGCAGCAATCATACATTAATATTAAGGCATTTGAAAAGATGGTGTTATATTGGGTGAGTATTTTATATATATATATATATATATATATATATATATATATATATATATATATATATATATATATATATATATATTTACTCAATTCTTTGATATTACTAATTTGAAAGATATGTGGCCAATAAATTAAGAAATTTTTTTTTACAATATGCAGATAGAAACACAAGGAAGAGCAGGCTATTGTTATAATAAAGTAGCTGACCTAACAAAAATTCATCCATCAAAGAGAATCAGCAATATCTAAAACAAAAACTCATCTACAGAAGATACTGATATACTAATTCAGATACTACAGTGGAGAAAATAGAATTCACCATGTACCGATCCAATATTTTGTAAATCTGTAAGTTTGCACGGTGCATTTTTTCTATCCACACACATATAATTACTGTTACAAACAATAACTTTTTAGGTTATAATAAAATATAATTAAATTGTGGTACATTTAAAAAAACCATAAAATGTATAATACTTGATATTTGTGGTAACAAATAGAATTAGCATCATCAACAATTATTTTCACTTGTATATTTTGATCTGGTGACACATTTGTGACTTTTTTATTATTACTTGTAAGTTAAACAAAGACTATGAAATCAGTGCTCATAATGTTTTTAACATTTGGTTTTTGATACCTTAATTTGAAATGGGACATGGTAAGCATTTAATGAATGAAGAATTAGCACTAATCAAAGCATACAAATATACAGGCTTATCTAATCAGGAAATTGCAAAGAAAATTAAAAGATCTCCAAAAGTGGTTAATAATTACATGAAGATTGGTGTTAAATATGCTTATAAGGGAAGTGGTGGCAAAAGTAATTGATAATCATACTAAACGAGCTATTGTACGGTGTTTTGCTGTTCAGCACATGACTGCATCTCAAATTCGTGCTGATTTACAATTACCTGTATCTGTTCAACAAAAATAAATTTGCAAGGCTACATTGACTTATTAGTAATAAGTTTGCTTGAACATGGTGAGGAATTGATGGGTGAAAATTTCACTTTTTAACAAGATAATGCTGCTATTTATAATTCAAAGCTTGGTTTAGAGAAAAAAATATTCACGTAATGGAATGGCCCGCATGTAGTCCAGATCTTAACCCAATTGAAAATCTATGGGGAATACTTTTTAGAAAGGTTTATGAAAATGGTAAGTAATTTTAATCCACCTTGGAGCTGAAAACTTATATCAGAGAAGCTTAAAATGAAATATCTATAGAAATCCAAAATCTTGTGACTAGTATGTCAAGTTGAATATTTGAAGTCATTAAAAATGCTGAATATTAAATGAGCGTAATAAGCAAAATATTTTCTGTATTTTCTTGTATAAAACGTAAATGAGGCTAATTTTATTTTCTCCACAAATTGAACACTTTAAATTTTTTTTCCATTTGTAATTAATTAAACATATCAATTTATAAACTTTTCAGTTGTAGCAGAAGATAATAAGAAATAAAGTAGATTTAATAATTGTTTCACTGCAATTTTTGTTAAATTAAAATAAAAATAAAGGTGAAGTTAAGTCTATTTTCTCCACTGTATGGTGATTGAGACTAAAAGGGATGAATGTTTTTTTACCAATACTGGTAAAAAAAAATGGTACAGTAACTAGACTACAAAAAAAACTTAGTGACCTTGAATTTGATAATCCACAGTATGTTTCATGTCATGTTCTGGACAGAGTTTTGAGGTTAGTCATTGATTCTGTATGTCCTGAAAAGTCTACATCACCTGAATTACATTATTCTTTTATTAAATTCATTATTGAAAATTACAAATATCTTGTTGAACCATTTAACAACAGTGGTCCTTCTTTAAACTGCAAAATTTTAGGGTGGAGAGATGATATGAAACTGCTTTACAATCTATGCAAAGCATATCTTTTTTATAAAAAAAATGGATATTTTCCTAAAATTAATTTTCCTAACCATCTCTTCAGTGTGCAAGAGCAATTTATGCATTTTTAAGTCATTTTCTTGTTAACTCATTGTTGTTAACTCATTGTTTTCTTGATTTTCTTGTTAACTCATCGTTGTTAACTCATCGTTTTCTTGATAACTCATCGTTGTAGAGAACAACTTGAAGTAGTTTGTAATTTTGTTACTAATTGGCACAAAATATGGTTTGGGAAACATATTTTTAATGAAAATGATTTTAGTGTTCTTGAACAAGATATCAAGAGGTAATTGCCAGAAAAGTCTTACTTAATTGAAAACGCATTGGACTAAAAAACCATCAGTTATTACGAACATCCAGTTCAGTAGTATGAAATTAAAATTAAAATAGCTGAAAGAGCAATAAAAATTGCTCAAGACAAAATGTGCCTTGATGTATAAACTCTGAGAAACTTAATTCAAAATTTATTTTGTCTTATATTAAGATATATATATATATATATATATATATATATATATATATATATATATATATATATATATATATATATATAAATTAATTACAAACTGCAAATAAAAATAAAATATTGTTTTAATGATTAGTAATATTTTTTTTTTTTATTTGTAAGTGATCTTTTTGAAAAATTAAATGTAAAAAATATAAATTTATGTTGTTATACATAATTGTTCATTAGAAAATAATTTAGGACATACGTGTTGTAATAAAGTCAACACCTAATGTGTATATGGAGTTTATATATTTAAACTATTTAACAATATAGCTTTATGAAAAAAATGTAAATAAATATCAGTATTTATAATGACTTAAAAACTGATCTTAAGATAACAAGGTAAAACTTTTAACATTTAACCTCTTTTTTCCTACAAAAAGTGGTACATAGCAAAGGTACTATGAAAACATAAGTGCTTAAACTTAAATGCATTATGTATCAAAACTATTTTTGACAAATTTAACACTGTTGTCCAGAGTGTGGTTTGCAACCCAAAAGCATGAGTAACTTTGAGAATGTATTAAATCTAGACAACAATCATTTACAGTTAAACTATGGTTTATCATGCCTACATGCTTGGATAAACATTTTTGAGCGAATTCTGGGTATAAAAACGTGCCAATTGTCAATTATAAAAACGCGCCATTTGAAGCTGTAACTTAAAAATTGGCAAAATATAAAAAGCAGAATTT